TCGCAGGTGCGCATTTGCAAATTTTAAGAGAACCAAAATTGTTGGTGATGATTTTTCAATGACTTTAACAACAAGATGTCCTAACAATTTATACAAATTAACCCTAACCTTTAAAACTTTTTACTGTAAATCTTATTCCATGTTATAACCTAATTACAATTATTTTGTTTACTTAGAAGAAAAAAAAAAATAGGAAAAAAACAAAGAAGAAAAAGACAATTAGGTTTAATTGAATTTTAACAATAAACAAATTGAACAAAACTCTTAAATATTTATTTACTAAAAATAAATACTATTTTAATAATTATATGGATAACGTTATACTTATAACTATATATAATGTATATCTATATATACACGCTCAAATTATGCAGTTTTATTAGTTTTCAATTATATATATATATTTTTGTAATAAAAAAACAACGAGGTTTATCCATATTATCTAAATAAGCTGTTTAAAGAAAAAATGCAAAAAAAAAGAAAAAGAAAAAAGAAAAAGAAAAAAGAAAAAGTAAAAAAAGAAAACAAAGAAAGAGAATTGTACAAGCAAGGTCCACATTTGACCTTTGATCGCGTTTCAAAGTCTCGAAATTCAATGACGATTAATATAGATATTTATTATCCGAACAAGAACACGGCTTCTATTCAAACTCGTGGCTTACTTTTCTTCTTCTTTTTTTTTTTTTTGCATTCTTGTATTTTCTGTTTTTGTTTTGATTTTTTTTTTTGTTCATAACCTCTATCAACGTTAAGTGCAACAAATGTATGAGGATGATGTTCACCTTTTTAACATGGCGACGATAATATCCTTTTTTGTATTGTTTTTTTTCTTCCTCTTCTTCGGAACATTGAAGAAAACAACACAAACAAAGTTGCAAAATGTAAATTGTGATTGATTATTTTCTAATTATAATAATATCATTAATAATGTTTCTAAAGATTCATGCGTAACGTTGTTTCATTTACAATATCAAAGGTTAGGTTAGTTAAAAAAAAAAGAATTAATGAAAAAAATAGTAATAAAAAATAAATAATGACACGATGCAACTTTGTTTGAGAGAAAGAAAGTAGTAATATAGTCAACGTCAACGAATCTAATCTAACAAAAGGAGAACTTCGAGCGATGAATTATTTAATCCCTAACCTAAGTAGCGATAATAACGAAGAATATAATTTCTTTAATATTACAAGGTCACAAAGCAGCATTTTCATTTTTGTTGCGTAAAAAAGCATCAATCATATGATTTTTAGGACATTATATATATATTTACTTATAATCAACGAAAACGCATATCTTTACAAAATCACCTATCGTTATCACAATGATAGTATAAAACATCTTTTAACATTTTTTTTACTTGTATTATGTACATATATATTACCCCAAAAAAATGTTGCAATAAGTATGCGGTTATTTGAATCAAGAAAAAACGCGTATTCCAAAAATATGACCATCCTACTCAAGATAAAAAAGATATATGTATTTTTAAAACTTTTAAAAAAGCAACAAGAAAGAAAGAGAGAAAGAGACATAAAGTAGGGAAAAAACGCGCATGCGCAAGTGCGTGCATATTATCTACACTTAATTTTTATTTATTTATTCATTAATATTATTTTTAATAATAATTTGTTAACTATAAAATTTGTCATTAATAAAACATAAAATGCATAAACAATCCACATAAAATATAAACAAACATTAGCAATTTTTATTTTTTGCAATGTAATGCACTGTTGAATGCCGTTATCTTCACGTCACTTTTTTGTTTTTACAACATTTTTAACGTTTCAAAAACAAATAGAAAATATTTAAAAGATAATAAGAATGAATAAATGAATAAAAAAATAGATAAAGATAAGAAGAAAATAAATTATTAATAAAAAAAAAATTTTTCACCAAAAAACAAACACACTGCACTTATATTGTGAATTATTATTGTTATTTTAGAAACCTAAAACTACCTTAATCTAACTTAATTTATTTATTTATATAAAATAAAATATTATTCCATACACGCAATATTTATTATATAACTTTGAACAATTAAATATATTATTATTAATAATGAAAAATATATAATGATAAATAATAGTAACTAAAAAAAAAAAAAATAGGGAAAAATGATTTGAAATATATCTCACACCCGTGACCTCTATTGACGGGAGAAAGAACTAGGTCTGTTTTATCGACGATACCGAGAACCCTGAGACTGGGTTAATGACCTCTAAGTTAAGGAGCGCCTGACCTATATATTCGTCGACCAAACTCACAATCAGAAAGAACGTTCTCACGTTGGAACACGTCCCTTCTTGTTTCTTTTTCGTATTTTCTTTTTATGTATAGTATAGCGTCTTTAAGACGAAACGCCATTCTACTTGGTTACAACTAACTTATATTATATACTTTGTAATTGTAACTTACTTCGATTATATTCATTTTTTTTTTAATTTCTTTTTTATCTGTCCGTCAAATGACCTTCTCGAAAAAATTGTTCCACCACCTACTCTATCGATGAATACAAATTTTTAAACTAATCAAATTACGTTTTATTCAAAATTCCAATGAACATTTTATAGTTTGAATATATTGAAATTTTAACGAACAAAATACACGATAGGCTTTTATCTGATAAGAAAAGAAATTTTGATAGATCGATAATAAAAAATTAGCGATTTAAAAAAGATTTACTTTTTCAAATTTATTTTTAATTCAAAAAATGGCCACCGCGCCTTAAGCATGAGTGACGTGATGTAGGACGTGTGTTGTGTGTGTGTGTGTTGAGCGCGCACGCTTCTTTCCTCAGTCCCTTTTTTTCTGTATTCTTTGAGTAGGGGCACACCATACGGGTTTACCATATGCAAGACATAAAGAAAACGAGTCTTTATAATCTTTCTCACGATATTACTATTTTATCTAATGACTATCAAATTATTATTATTGTTAACTTAGTGATTTATCAATTTAATTACCTGTATTAATTATTATTTTATTTATTAGTTCATTGAAATTTGTGTTAACGATTTTCGATAATTTAAATTCTTCTTACAATAGATACAATAATATTGTTAAAGTATATTTTCAAACTAATTAAGAAAGACGTCAACGAACTCTGCAAACACTATTACTTCACCTTGAAACAATAACACGAGAGGAGGAAAGTGGCACGAGGACAATAAACGTTGAAAGTCAATGCCCCGCATTATAACAATAGGGAACACACCCGAAATCTAATAAATGATATCACAATACGTGCATGTAAAATTAAATAACGATAATGATAACGTAAAATAACTTTAACGATTCATTGATTGTTCAAAAAGACACATTTTTTGTTTTACACTAAACGCAAAAAAATAAGAGAAGAACACACAACCACACACAAATATACAAATATAATAATAATCGTGATAATTCAATTTGAAATACATACCAATTAACAACTAACACTGAAAATCACAAACTTTTTTTGAACGAAACAAACAAAGTCCCCAAGTTTTTTTCTTTGGCCGCGAACGGCGACTACTTTCATCACAACACATTAAACATAATAATGTACGACTTTGCATGCGTAAATTATTATCAATTCCGATCATCAAACCCGTAAATGCAATCGGTAATACTCGTTAATTTTAACGTAACACAAATCACGCGCACTAGAACTTGCGCCGACTATTGCCGCCATGTTTAACTTTTGTCTCTTTATTCACTTCGTACGAATTCGACCCGTTTCCGAATACAATCGAAGTGAGCGTCGCTGAATTATTTCGCCGATTTTTAGGACTACTAACGCTATCTGTTAATCAATTGTACTAACTAAAAATATATCAATTCCGCGCCCTTAGTACAAGCGGGAAATCAAATTATTCAAATTTCAATTACCATAGGATTCAAAATATTAACTAAATTTTATATAAATATTAAATAAATAATTAACTATATTAAAAGTAAAAATTCCATTGAAAGAAAAAACTAATTACGCTTGAATATAATAAAAACTGCATGTTTCTTTTAGACAAATAATATCCATATGAAATGATAGTATTTATAATTCTTTTCAAATCTTAGCAATGTTTAATATTTATATGAATGTGTCAAGGTTAATCAAGTATAGATATAAATATGTATTTCTACACATTTATACATTCGACAATTTTCATTTTGAACCTTTTCGACAAGTTCTATCAATCTTAATATATCCTAACGTATAAAATCATCTTGCATGCATACAATTATTTCATTTTTCCTACTAAAATCGTTCTATAATATATCTTGCTACATTGTATATTATTAAAAAATTTATAAATTATAAAAAATAAAATCTCTAGCAGTATAATTAAAGCACGATTCAATAAAATTATTTTTATCTAACATAAGCTATTAGAAAAAGTTGTGTAAACTACTGAATTCAAATAATAATGTATTACTACATTATTAAATATCATCAAATTTGTATAATAATTATTTCTGATATTGAAAGTGTAAGTAAGAAAATGAATAATTAACAGATGATAGAAATAAAAGAAAAACCTCATCGTAATATGCTATCAAAATATATGAATTTAATTTGAATAAAATGTAATTGAAACAAACGATGAAGAAACGAAGAAAAGAAAAAAAAATAAATAAATAATAGTTTCTCTTATGTTTCGTTAATTTAAAATAACATTATTCAAGTATCGATGGTTCTCGATGATTCGTGATGTTTCTAGATGCGCGTCCTATAGGGTCCATATTCCGGTTACTACGTTAATCGATTAAGCGACCATTAAAATTTGAATTTCTTCCTAGATGAAAGGAACTCTATAATGAGTTTAATATCGAAGATAATTCTTATATTAATTTTAAAGATAACTTATGTTTCAACTTTGTCGTAAAGTATTGAAAATAAATTTATTGAATGGACTCAAATTTGATGGAACATTCGGGAATTGGTTGAAATTTCCGGCTAGCAATTTCTAGAATCTTCATCACTCAATAAAAGCGGCGCGTTTCCCCCACTTTCTTACAATTTTCTAAGAAGACCGCGGACGATACGTGTCAATTCGAAGTCTAACGTTAAAGTTGAACAGAAGAAAATATCTGTGAGTTATAATTATCCTGATCGATAATTAATTTGTCGAGAAGAAAGAAGAAAGATTTTACATCTGTGATTAATTGTGAATCCTAGACAAATTCATTTACTGTCATATTTATTGTGATTAAAAGCCGAATTTGACATCTATCAAAATGCCGGCTGAAGTTACAATGATGGATTCCAACGAAGTCGAAACTTTCGTCTTTCAAGCTGAAATTGCTCAATTAATGAGCTTGATCATCAATACATTTTATTCAAATAAAGAGATTTTTATTCGAGAATTAATTTCCAACGCATCCGACGTGAGTAACTTTCTTTCATATATTTTTACTTTTTCTTTTTTTTTTTTTCTTTTTTTCTTTCTTTCTTTCTTTCTTTTATTTTCACCTCTTTGCCCTAATGAATGTAATCATCAAGAATATACAAAATATAAATAAGAATTCTATTAAGAAACTAAATAATTTATCATTATGTGAAAAATAAATATGGGTTTCCTTTGTTTTCAGGCTTTGGACAAAATTCGTTATGAATCTCTTACGGACCCAACAAAGTTAGAATCATGCAAGGAATTATTTATTAAGATCGTTCCCAACAAAAATGATCATACACTTACTATCATTGACTCGTATGTATTTTTTTTTTCTAAACAAATTTTCTAACTAACTTAACATTCCTAAATGTGAACAATTTTTTATCAACTTTCTTTTGGTTTTTGTTTTACAGAGGTTGTGGAATGACCAAAGCTGATCTCGTCAATAATTTGGGTACTATTGCAAAATCTGGTACTAAAGCCTTTATGGAAGCTTTGCAAGCTGGTGCTGATATTTCTATGATTGGTCAATTTGGTGTTGGTTTCTATTCTGCTTACTTAGTAGCAGATAAAGTTACAGTAATATCAAAACATAACGATGATGAACAATATTTATGGGAATCATCTGCCGGTGGTTCTTTCATAGTTCGTCCTGACAATGGTGAACGTATTGGAAGAGGTACTAAAATAATTTTGCATATTAAAGAAGATCAAACTGAATATTTGGAGGAAGATAAAATCAAAGAAATTGTTAAAAAACATTCGCAATTTATTGGTTACCCAATAAGATTACTCGTCGAGAAAGAAAGGGATAAAGAATTAAGTGAAGATGAGGATGATGATGATGAACCATCGAAAGAAATGGAAGTTGATGATGAAAAACCGAAAATTGAAGATGTCGGTGAAGACGATGAAGAAGAAAAGTCTACCTCTGAAAAGAAAAAGAAGAAAAAGGTCATCAAAGAAAAATATACTGAAGATGAAGAACTTAATAAGACCAAACCAATTTGGACCAGAAATCCAGATGATATTACACAAGAAGAGTATGGTGAATTTTACAAGAGCTTGACAAATGATTGGGAAGATCATTTGGCTGTTAAACATTTCTCAGTTGAAGGTCAATTAGAATTCAGAGCTTTGCTTTTCATACCAAGAAGAGCACCATTTGATCTTTTTGAAAACAAAAAGAAGAAAAATAATATTAAATTATACGTTAGGAGAGTCTTCATCATGGAAAATTGCGAAGATATTATTCCAGAATATCTTAACTTTGTTAAAGGTGTGGTTGATAGCGAAGATCTTCCATTAAATATCTCTCGTGAAATGTTACAGCAAAATAAGATTCTCAAAGTTATCAGAAAGAATCTTGTAAAGAAAGCTTTAGAATTATTTGAAGAATTATCCGAAGATAAAGATAATTACAAAAAATGTTACGAACAATTCAGTAAAAATTTGAAATTGGGTATTCACGAAGATAGTCAAAATAGGAAAAAGCTTTCTGAATTATTGCGATACAATACATCCGCTTCGGGTGATGAAATGTGTTCGCTTAAAGATTACGTTGGTCGTATGAAAGAAAATCAAAAACATATTTACTACATCACAGGAGAAAGCAAAGAACAAGTAGCCAATAGTTCATTTGTTGAACTTGTTAAGAAACGTGGTTTTGAAGTTGTTTATATGACAGAGCCCATTGATGAATATGTTGTTCAACAATTGAAAGAATTTGATGGCAAACAATTGGTCTCTGTTACTAAAGAAGGTTTAGAACTTCCAGAAGATGAAGAAGAAAAGAAGAAAAGAGAGGAAGACAAAGCTAAATTTGAAAATCTTTGCAAAATTATGAAAGATATTCTTGACTCAAAAGTAGAAAAAGTAGTCATCTCTAACAGACTTGTTGACTCTCCATGTTGTATTGTTACATCCCAATATGGATGGACAGCCAATATGGAAAGAATAATGAAAGCTCAAGCTCTTCGTGATACATCTACCATGGGATATATGGCTGCCAAGAAACATTTAGAAATCAATCCTGATCATCCTATTATGGAAATTCTAAGACAGAAAGTAGAAACTGATAAACATGACAAATCTGTTAAAGATTTGGTAAAACTCTTATTTGAAACTGCTCTTCTTTCTTCTGGATTTGCTCTTGAAGATCCACAAGTACACGCATCGAGGATATACAGAATGATCAAATTGGGTCTTGGTTTTGAAGACACTGAAACGTTTAATGAAGAGGAAGAAAAAATGGACACTGATCTTCCTACTCTTGAAGGAGATGCAGAAGAAACTTCGAGAATGGAAGAAGTAGATTAATACTTTAATCTGATTTGTCAGAAGCGTTAATTCCAAAGACTTTTAGGATTTAGTAAAAAAAAAAAGACTGGTTTGAAGACTAATTGTGTAACGATAGTAGTATTTCTTTACTTTTTCTATTTTTTTTATTTTTGGTTACTTCTTTTGCCTTATTCAAAAGGTCTTATTATGCGAGACAGAATGAAGTTGTCATGCTTAGTTTTATTTTTTTTTTATCTTCGAAGCATGTTATTTAGTATGAAAGAGATACGAGCGGAGAGTGTGTTAAAAGGGTGTAAAAGAATTATGTTTGCATGTTTGTACGAACAAAGTTGTATTATTCGTGCGTCTCACTTAATTCTAATTGATAGTTAATTTTTTACTTCTAAAGAAAAAAAAAAGATTCCTATATTTTCTAAGTGAAAAGATTATTGATCTGTTATTTTTATATTTTTTTTTTATCTTTCAATATTCTCTCCATTATTTTTTACTTTAGTCATTCCGTGCTTAACATCACATAGATTGAATATTTAAAATGTTGTAAACATAACATTAAATAAAATATCTTTAAATTTAAAAATTATAAATTTTACATTTAAACAAATGTACTTTATATAAATCTACCTCTCCTTATTTATTTTTTTATAATGAAAGTTTTATAATATTATATTAAGAAATAAGAAAATGAGATTTTAATGAGAAATTAATATTCATATACAGTAATGGCGTTCGCATAACTGAAAATTTTGCAATAGTTTATTTAACATATAAATATCATTCTCCAATTAGAAATAAGGTCAAATAAATATATAATTTATTGTAGAAAAAAAAATAGAAAAAAAATTCCTAGTTTAAATAGATAGAAAAAAAACGTTTGTATTAATTTTAAATGAGAAAAATAATAATAAGTTTTCTACTAGAGTGCGCCAGGGTTGCTTATCGAAATGTCGCGTGTTGCCACATCACCACCAAATCAAATGAGTTCGTGCGATGTTTTCTGTATAGGATGCGCCACTGTCGAGTAACCCACGATACGTGGAAAGCAGCGTGAGTTTTTCTGCTTCTATACAACATGTCAAATTATTGTTAAATTTATCTTAACTATCTGACGCTAGAAATCGTATTTATTACGATATCAGTGTAATTCTAATTTGCAATAACGTCAAAACAGGCGAAAGTTCGATTAGAAATTTTTTCTTCATTTATTGAGAATCAGGATTTTGCATATGCACGGCACGATGAGCACACCAGCTCAGGGCCAAGTTAAAGCGAGAAACGGCGTGGTTAAGCAGGTAAGCGTTTTTCATCAAAACCTCATGGCTAAATATTATTTTATATTTTATGGACAAAATTTATTTTATAAATTGAAATTTTGATTGAATAATTTATTCTAATATCGAACAATACCTCTATCATTTCTTACTTCTTTATTTTCTTTAAGTATACTCTCTCTTGGTTAAAAAAAAAAAAAAAAGGAAAAAACGTGCACAACATATGGTAATATTTTATCATCGTTCATTCATTTCTTTCTACTTCTTAAGTTTCTACTTCATTGTTCTAATCCATATGTCAACATTTAACTATTGCGTCATATACAACATGATATGGCAATATTTCTAAATTTTGAAATCTTCCAATTAATAATCCTAACAATTAGAACTTCTTATGCTTAATGTTGTATGAAAAGTATGTTACTTTTACATAAAATATATAATACATTGACTTAATTATTATCCTTTGTATATAAAATGATATATCAGTGATTTTTATTTGACATAAAAAAAGAAAAATTCTATACTATTTTTTCTATAGATCATTTCAGGAGATACTCTTGTAATTCGTGGACAACCTCTTGGAGGACCCCCACCAGAAGTTACTATAACCTTATGTAACATAACTGCACCAAAATTAGAACGCTGGAAAACAAATGATAGGTATGGATAATTACTAAGCTTTACGTATTACAAAACATGTTAACTTATAATTTAATTTACAGCGTTGAAGAAAGTAAAGATGAACCTTATGCCTGGGAAGCAAGAGAATTTCTACGTAAGAAACTTATCGGTCAAGATGTTACATTTACCACTGAAAAAGCTGTTAATACTAACAAAACATACGGCACTGTTTGGCTAGGAAAAGGTATTACGTTTACATACACACATTCAAATTAATTCAATATTTTAAACTATTTGTTTTTTTACAGATAAAAATGGAGAAAATGTTATAGAGTCTTTAGTTTCCGAAGGCTTAGTTAACGTTAAAAAAGATACTCGCAATCCAACAGCCGAACAAACACGGTTGATTGAATTAGAGAATACTGCAAAAGCAGCTAACAAAGGCAAATGGTCAGATTCACCAGCTTCTGCACACATACGTGACGTTAAATGGACCATTGATGATCCTAGAAAATTGGTAGAAAAATATGGCAAGAAACCTGTTAAAGCTGTTATTGAATTTGTTTTCAATGGATCAACTTTAAAAGCATTTTTGTTACCTGAATTTTACAACATTGTATTAATGATATCTGGTATTCGGTGTCCTGGTTGGCCAAGTGGACGACGGGATGCTAATTCTGGTGATCCTTATGCAGAAGAAGCAAGGTATTTTGTAGAATCACGACTTCTACACAGAGATGTCGAGATTATACTCGAATCTGTTAATAATAACAATTTTGTTGGAAGTGTTATTCATCCTAAAGGTTAATATTATATATTATAATAATATGTGATTATATTGTAAAATACTCAAAGTCATCATATAATAACAATTTCATTTATTTAATAGGAAATATTGCGGAAATCTTATTGAGCGAAGGTTTTGCTAAATGTCAAGATTGGTCTATAAACAACAGTAAATCTGGTGCAGAAAAACTTTACCTTGCTGAAAAAGCTGCTAAAGAAGCACGATTACGTTTATGGAAAGATTATAAACCATCTGGTCCTCAAATTGAATTTACTGGTACTATCGTTGAAATTGTAAATGCTGATGCGTTTATTATCAGGACACAAAATGGTGAAAACAAAAAAGTCTTTTTAAGTAGCATTCGACCACCATCTAGAGAAAAGAAACCTGGTGAAGATAATACCAATAATGCAACCAGATCGAATCGTCCTTTATATGACATACCATGGATGTTAGAGGCACGTGAATTTCTAAGAGAAAAATTTATCAGAAAAAATGTTAAAGTTGTAGTCGATTATACTCAACCAGCAAGAGAAAGTTTTCCTGAAAAATTATGTTGTACAGTAATGTGTGGAAAAACGTAAGTTAAACAAACAAAAATATTTATTTATATCTCATATTTTGTTATTTATTCTTCTGTTTTGTTTTTTTATAGAAATGTTGCAGAAGCATTAGTTTCAAGAGGTCTTGCTAGAGTTGTAAAACATAAACAAAGCGATGATCAACGTTCATCTCATTACAATTTGCTTCAAGTTGCTGAAAGTAAAGCAGAAAAGTCCCAACATGGTTTGCACGCAAAGAAAGATATTCCAGTTCATAGATTAGTAGATCTTTCCAATGATCCTTCTAAAGCTAAAGCATTTTTAACATCGTTGAAAAGAGCTCAAGGAATTAAAGCTGTTGTTGAATTTGTCACGAGTGGTTCACGTTTGAAATTATTTTTACCAAAAGAAGATCAACTAATAACATTTGTATTAGCTGGTATTAGAACACCACGATGTCAGAGATCTTTACCTGGAGGAGGTATTATTAAAGCTGATGAATATGGTGACAAAGCTTTAGCTTTCACTAAGGAACATTGTTTCCAAAGGGATGTAGAAATTAAAATTGAAAGTACAGAGACTAAAGGAAGCGGTTTCATAGGATGTTTAACCGTTAATGATATTAATATGTCTGTTGCTTTGGTGGAAGAAGGTTTAGCCGAAGTAGTGACTTTCCCTGATTTAGGTGAATTTACCAAAACTCTTAAAGCTGCTGAAGAAAGGGCAAAATCGAAAAAGCTTAATGTTCGTATTACTTCACACATTTATTCTTTTAATATTTAATATTATTTCAAATATTCATAATAAATCATTGATTTTTGTAGATTTGGAAGAATCGTGTTGAAGTACAAGTTGAAAATGAAAAGAATGAAGATGAGAAAGAAGTTGCAGAAAGAAAAATAGATTATCAAGAAATTGTTATTACCGAAGTAACGGAAGATCTTCATTTCTATGCTCAACATGTTGAACAAGGCAGTTCGTTGGAAAACTTACTTTCACAATTACGACAGGAATTAGCTGCTAGTCCTCCACTTCCTGGTGCTTATAAACCAACGAGGGGTGACTTGGCAGTAGCCAAATTTACTGGTGACGATCAATGGTATCGTGTTAAAACAGAAAAAGTTTCAGGACCAAATGTTAGTGTATTTTACATTGACTATGGTAACAGAGAGACAATTAATGTAACACGAGTCGCTGATTTACCTGCTCGTTTTGCAACTGACAAATCTTATGCACACGAGTACACACTTGCGTGTGTTGCTTTGCCAAATGATGTAAGTAATTTAATTTCTCTTTGAAATAATAATAAATATAATAACAATATTATTATAAATAAATTTGTAGAATGATGATAAGAAGGCAGCTGTACAAGCATTTAAAGAGGATGTAATGGATAAAATATTACTGATGAATGTTGAATACAAAGTAAACAACAATTTACATGCTGTAACTCTCGCAGATGTATCTACAAACGATGATATTGCCAAAGGGCTCATTGCAGATGGACTATTATTGGTTCACAAACATAAAGATAAGAGACTTGGAAAATTGGTTAGTTGACTTTAACTAATTTTAAAACAATATGACAAACTAAAAATGAATTAATTTATTTTCTATATTTTCAACTTTTTGATAGATTGAAGAATATGCAAAAGCAGAAGAAGAAGCTAAGCATAATCGTCGCAATATCTGGGAATATGGAGATATTAGAGCAGATGAGGATAAAGAATTTGGAGCGTAATCGAATTACTGAAAATACTGATAAATATTTCCGATCAAACAAAAGTGATATAAAGACAAAAAAAGACATTTTTGAAAAGCATAATAATAATAAATATATATACATATATATATATATATATGTATATTGACTAGATTGATGGAAAAGAATGAATGTCGATATGAGAGTTACATATTGCATTCGGTGATAATGCAATTATATTTCAGTATATAAAACCCAAAATGTACATAACGATTTAATTAATGTCCATAATTATTAGCATATTACAAAGGACAAAGTACAGATGCAGAAAATAAATAGATCAGACTGCCTCTATTTACTGACATAATAAAACTGACATAATAAAATATGTATTCTCATCGACGCATACATTCATTATTATTACTCTTTGGTGCCACAATGTAAATGTTTTTTTTTTTATCCAATTTGATGATCATGAATGAATTTTGATAAAATATTATTTCCTGGTTTCGCCAATCTATCCAAACTGTGTGCAATTAATATTTGTTATAACATACCTTCATATAAAATTAATAATATTTATCTTTAGATGTATATTACATTGAAAACTTGACTGCAAAAGTAGAATCCCAATGAAATATTATGAAAACATATCTGTTTATCTAATAGATTACATTTGAACGTTTCAAGTGTTGTATCTCTGAGAAATACGTGTTATGTTAAGAAGACTGTAGAAAATTGAGAACTTATTTAGAATATGGACCTATTTTACAAACAAAAATAGGATTATCAAAATTACAAGTGTTCTTCTTTAACATTGTCACGTGATTATTATTTTTTTTCTTTTCTTAGGTTTCATATCACTGATCCCATATCATTATAAAAAGCACGGTGTTGCATTTCTTTTTAAGAATAATAATAGACCAGATATTATTCAATATGATCTCAATCTTTTTTAGCATGCTCATTTTATTTTAACATTTGTTTTTTTTTTTCTAATAGAATAAAAATAATTTAAATTAATCTTGAACAATGATCATAATCATAATAGATTAAAAACGTGCAAACGTTATTTATCACATCTTAACAAATATTTCAAATAAATAATATAATTATAAAAAAAATTACAAATGAATTTATAAAAAACATGAAAAAATTTATACTAAATTTTCTATACACATTTAATTTAATAATTTTTGTTTGTTTGTAATCTATTAAAAAGCTCAACGCGTATGGAAGAATGGCGAATAGTTTTGTAAGGAAAGAAGAAGACGTATGAGGATTAAAAAGACTCGATTAATTTTTCTCAAGTACTGAAATGGGAATGTTACAATGAAATCATGTTATATATAATTCATTATAATACATATGCTTCTCATTCTATGATTTTATGTCATATTCTTCTGCAAAGAAATGCATTTATCTATTTTCTAACATATAGGCACTTAAATAATTTTATTCAACAACGGATGAGAAGACATAGGTGTTTCCATTTATTTATAAATGACATTGTTTTGTCTAATTCATGATGAATAAATATTTCAATCTCGATGTAATGATTTTTTTATTTATGTTAAAAATGTCATTTAATTTAATTGAATTATGGCCAATATGAAAGAAAAGAAATTAATAGAAATATTCATAGTTTATACAAGACCACACATTCCAATATATATATTGCTATACATTTGAGCATTATTTAAAAAAATTGTGGTAATTATAAATGACTTAGAACAATAGGAAATAATATCTAAGATATTAATTAGAATATTGCTCGCTCTCTGGTCCTAAAAAAAAAAAAAAAAAAAACAAAGAAAAGACTATTCTAAGCAAATTTGTAAATGAAAACAAAACAATGAAATGAAAACTGCATTAAAAATGTAGAGAAACATTAACATTTCTTTTTTTTTATTAAACTGATGATCAATTGATCAGAGTTCATTTTAATATAAAAGTAACAAGTTTAATGTTCAATTATACAATTATTAAATTGTATGTTTTAAAACTTGATCATCCCAAGAACAGGATAACAGTTCATCTTTGTACCAAGCGAGTCCACGGACAAAATCTGTATGTGTAATATTTTCATAAATAACATTACAATCCTTATTTGTATCAATAACTTTAAATACTACATCATCGCAGCAACAAGCTAATTGACTTGACCTAGAAAAAAAGATAAATAAATATATGTAAATTCTTGAAATTATTCAATGAAACATCTTAATTGATTTAATGTTCAATATTGATTGAAATTAGACAAGTATAATAATTATCAATGATCTATATGTGCTAATAAGTGTTTAGATATTATTTCAATATAGGTTATATTAATGTAAAGATTATGACCCAAAATTTCATTGTATTACCTTTCTGGATTTGGATTAAATAAAAGCTTATGTATTGATCTGGAAAATACAAATGACTCGAATAATACGTCATCCGTATTTCTAATATCAATTAACGTAACACTTCCATCAATTGCACCTATTGCTACGATATTATCAGAAATAGGACTGCAGGATACTGAAGTCAAACCATAGCCATATTTTTCTAAAATACCTTATAGAATATAAACACAAATTAATATTCATGAAAATATTGAAATATCAAATAAATAATATAATATCTTGAAATATAAGTAAACTAACAGGTGGCAGGTTTTGATTTTCGAAGATCCCACATTAATGCACAATTATCTAATGATGTAGATATAAATACAGAATTATTTCCATGTTGTACATCAACTCCAGTTACAATATCTATGTGACTAGAATGGAATGAATCTGTAGACATTAGATTAGATATATCCCAGACCTTTACACTGCGACAAATGAATATTAATATTTCTATTATTTTCTTTAAATGGCTGATGATTTGTAATGATAAGAAGCATACCAACAATCCATTCCGCCACTAACTAAACGTTCTTTATCAGAAAATACTGAAATACTTGTAATAGTATCATCGTGTTGACAAGCATATCCAAAAGATTGTAATTCAAATGTATCTTTCTCAGATGTTTCAACTAAACCAATTATTTGTAACAAACCACTATCTTCACCAATTATAAATTTGTCTTTTTCTAAATATGCTCCCGTTGTTATACCAGTTATAGTTTTTGTTGATAATAAAGCTTTGGATTTTGTAAAATCTGAAATGTCATTGTAATACCACACAGTACCAGACCAAAACCGATCTGTCATATTACTACCACCAAGAATAGCATTATTATCTGTAAATCAATAAAACGTGCAAATGTCAACTTACATTTGATATGTATATATTGTATATTAATTATGTTTAAATTTATATAAACATGTAATGTCGAATATTACCATCATATACTAATATAAGTTGTAGATGTTTGTCAGTAACAGTTGGACGATCGGCTTGTGACAAATTTCTGTAAACTTCGGCATTTAAATTCGGAGCGATTGATATATCCATGTTCTGAAATTATTTATACCTAACTATATTTAATTATTATTATAAAAAAGTTATAAAATTTTAGCAAAACCTATCCTCTCATTCAAAATCAAAACAGTAGAAAATTCATTCCGTAAACAGTTTACAATTGAATCCATTACCATTGTAGTTTTTCTGCGAGATCAACCAATTAGTAAATAGCAAATATTAATGCAATAATATCATTGGTCGAACCACGGACAAATAGCGATACCTTTAAAATTCCTTCGGGCAAATTTGCAACACCAATTTTCATATTAAAATAAATCAAATGTTTTCTTTATAAATAAAAATAATATCAATAATTAATATAAATGTATAATAATAAAAGCGCGAAAATCAAAATAAATTAAACAATTTAAATAAGAAATGTTAAAATGTAATATTGATATTAATATAGAATAAAGAAAGATAGAAATAGTGTGTGTGTTATATATACATATATATGTTTATATATATAAAAATATGTATTGTCCGTTAATTAATTGTAAAAAATAAAATATCCAAACAATTGCAAGATAATAAAAAAAAAACTAGAATTTGAAACAATTGCAAAATGCTATGAACGTTTCCCCGGTTTGAAAAAATTCATCCGTTGGAATATGATTAGAAAAATTCTTCGAAAATTAATAGTCACGATCTAAGGTAATACGACCTTTAATCGAATTGTCACGAGATTCTTGTTTTGCTTTGATCTGGTGTCTCAACCCCACTCCTGGGGTCATATTTTCGTGTCATCCCAAATTTACATGTGGCGTGTAAAAGTAGAGAATATGATTACCGTGGTAAGATCGTCGTGACGTAACGCGTCCAAGTACGCTGATAATTTCCGTCGTGACGCATGCGTATTCGCTCGCAAGGAGAGAGAAAATTGGAATTAGTCGAACGGAATCCCGGAAAGCGAGTACGAGAGATACGCGTGGTGCCCGTTTTAGGAATATATCAGAGCGAGCACACGGAAAAAAGTCTAGATCCATTAAAAGTCATTAAGTTAATATAATAGAAGAAACGAAAGCCCTTTAACGCCGAGGTGACGCGACGCAAGGTTCATTGGATTGATAAAAAATATAGGATGGCGAAGCCTGCGCAAGTTTTACTTATCGAGCCGGAAAGCGAACTACGATTCAGGGGTACGAAGGATCAACGATCTTCGTAATTTAATATTTCGATCGACAACGCCTTTATATATTTATTTATTTATTTCTTATATATTTTAATATCTATCTAGTTGTCTATTTATCCTTACCATCCATCTAATCTATCCACCCAATCATCCATCCACCCATATCTATCCGTCCATCCATCCATTTCTTCTTTCCTAATTTCATTCGTTTCTGAGTTTATCTTTAATATATCATATATATACATATAATATGTATTCGGTTGTACGTATTATACATTCGACTTTGATCCTACATATATCACTAGCTCGTAACAAAAAACTAACCGATTTCGGTTTCGAACGAAACACCCTAGTGCACACGGTGTGTGTTGCACTGCATTGTCAAGATGACGTAAGGGAAATATAGAAAGAGATAGATAGACAAATAATATTACGAATAGTCCTATCGCGTGTTTTTATTAACTTTCAACATTTTAACAAACCCTAGCCAAAAAATTGAACAATTTCTATTCGTGAAAATCCAAGTAAAAGTGCCAAGTCGTACTTAACCCTATTCGTTGTACGTCATTCGCTGTCAAAGCCAAGTGTACAGGATGATCATTTTATTGTACGCTTCTTCTCTTAACTCTTTTATTTCCCCTCTCCTCTCTTTTCTATTCCACATTACCCCTCTTTTTCCTTGTTTCTCCTTCCCCTCTTCCCCCTCACTTCTTCCATTCCCCCCCATTCCTCTTTTCTACGCTTACACACACTTTCTCTCTCTCTCTCTCTCTCTCTCTCTTAACTCTTTTATTTCCCCTCTCCTCTCTT